GGTTTTTTCAAAGACCCCACAGGGAAACCTTACCCTATATTGTTTGTAGCTTCCGCAGTATTCAGTCAGAACCGCTCAGAATTGTATCCCCTCTAGTATTTGCCAGTATTAGATAACAACAATAAGTCTCAAGAGCTTCTGTATCCTGACTCTGATCAGCAGGAGGAGTAAAGTAAGGGACAAAAACTCTGTCTCGGACCTACCGGTTTTTTGGGCGCCGCATTTGCTCGCTGCAAAGCTCGCTCTATGCGCTCCTCCTGGTGTTGGCGTTCTGCCTTTTTTACCTCCATCCGAACGCGTTCCCGACGAGCCAGTTCCTTCTCGATTCGCACTGCTTTCACCAAATCGGGTGGAAATTTTCTAAGTTTTTCATACAGTTCCTCAATCTTTTCCTCTATCGCTGTCAGCATCTGAATGGAACTGGTGCGAGAGGGGAAATGAAGAGGATTTGAAGTTAGTAATGCGGTGCCTCGCATTTTTTCATCATATAACGCGTGATGGGAATGCTGCCTTAAAAGAGTTCCCTTGCCAGACCGTGTTTAATTACAAACTCTTAACCCACAGTCAGAGCGGTAAAAATACTTGTCGCTTGCATAGTAATTTAATCGAAATAAGACAGACAGGTTCGGTAAAGATAGTTTACTATCACACAACAGCAAACAAGATCCTCAGAATTTCATAACATGGGACCGGTTGTAATATGGGTTTTACGAATGGGGCCACAACAGAACGCAGTACGGAACATTCGAGAAGTGTTGCGAACAACAGTAGGAAATGGTAAGTAAAAGTATTTCAATATGTTTTCTGCACAACACACGAGCCCGCGATGATCGAAGAATAGATAAAAAGCGAGTTGCGATAGTTCGGACTCGAATCGAATACGGAGGTTCAAAGGTCGAACGCGAAACGAATCTGACCTTGGTCAGCCTTGTCAAACACCAATCGGATCCAAAATTTGAATCTCATTTTTAACCGGACAGCAGGAGCCTTACTTTCTGAAAAAGCCCTTTCTACAAACCTAAGTATCAAACTAGCGTTTGGAAGAATGCTTATAGTATTAATGATATATTATGAAAACAAAATGAGATAAAAGCCTCACTGTACGAGACTAGAAAAATATGTCTCTGTTTCTCTGTATTGTCGTACATATCCGTCTTTCTGTCGCTTAACATTTTCGTGGGTGCGCAATGTAATATTCGAATGGACTATTCCATCCCATTCTGTAGAAAAATTAGTCGCATGTCCCTTAAACGTTTCCGTATAGGATGAAATGTAATATGTGGATGCACTATTTCGAATGTTTGTGGTGAGTAAAACAGCCTACATTTTACTAAACAAAGCATGCTTACTACTACGAAATAGGTAGACAGTTATGCAACGTTGACAAGGAGGCGGTGAGGGCATTAAGTTATCTTTGCCGCAAACGAGATAGTCAGTATTTCAGACATTCAGCTACATTGTTATTCATGAGTTTTAAAAAATAGGAGTAGCATGAGCCACAGAAATTGTAGCACTGCAATCATCATAGGACTGTCTCCATCGCAAACTCCCAGACACAG